TATGAAAAGCCATGTGATCAGTACATCATGACAAAGCACAACTTTTTAATTTTTTTTCCTGCACATGGCTTCAAGCATGACATTAACTTTTTATACGTTTGGCTCTGAGGGCTTGAGAGCCGTATTGTCTGGCAAATTGTCTTTTTGTACTCTGCCTGGAGCAAAATGAAGGAGATAATGCGCTATACCGTGCCATCTATTATAGCTGAAAAATCATAACAAGAGCACCTGGTACTCAAGAGAACTTTATTTGCCTTTTATTCATTCAACGTCAGCCAAAGATGACTTTAAATGGAAGAAAGCCACTGAAAGTTCTCTAGTAAACCTCTTGTTCTGCGTTTCAATGCAAGCAGATAGCACTGTTCCGAGTATAAATCATTCAAGTCATTTAAGGCATCAAACATAATAAACAATACTAACACAAACTGAAAAATGAGGTATTAGAAGGATCCTTTGGGTTATTATTATGCTGTGTGGATTTACATGTAGTTTTCTTTATGTTTGCAATTTTAGTGGTTGATCTAAAGGTCTGCTTTTGCTGATAGTAACCCTTTCAAATGCATTCAACACGAGCTCGATAGATATTGATTCCAGTGTAAAGCAGTGGCTCTCAGTATCCTGATTTTGGAAACACTTTATAATCAGGCTGCATTAGTTCATGTTATCAATGTATTTACTAACATGATAAAACATTACCGTCAGTGGAAAAAAGGGTTGTTCATTGATCATGTTAACTCACAGTGCATTAACTAATGCTAACAAACATGAAACTAGATTTGAATAACATATAAGTAAATGTTGAACTGCTATTAATGAATAAACATAAGTATTGTTCATTATTAAAGTTAGTCAAAAAAAAAATGAACTAATGAAACCTTGTGAAAGTGTGATCCAGACAGCCAGGGACGGACTGGGACTAAAAATCTGCCCTGGCACTATAACCACACCAGCACACATTACCATACTGACACAGTCCCACCCACGGACATTCACTACTTATATTAGTGAGGACACAAAACATTTTTACATATTCATTTTCTTTTTAGCTTAGTTCCTTTATCAATCAGGGGTTGCCACAACGGAATGAACCGCCAACTTATCCAGCATATGTTTTACATCCATACAAAAAAATATTTTAGTTAATTTTATGTGTTTGGCAGCGTCTGATTTTTTGCTTTTTCTGAGCTTTGATAGAGTCGGCCTATCTCGAAACCAGCCAGCTGTTGCCGATTGGGCCAAATGCTTAACATTTATTATTAACACTATTATTGTTATTATCATTATCATATTCACATCTTGCAAGAGATTAAAGCTGCCTGCATGTAAAAACATTACATATGAATATAAAATATACAAAAAAAAAAAACATAAAAATTGACCAGCCCACATTTAAAAAATGGTCTGGCCCTTCTGGAATTTGCCAGAATTGCCAGATGGCCAATCCACCCCTGGATCCAGATATTTAAAATGAACAGTGGCAACCAAACTCCAAATTTGAATAACAATGAATATTTTTTATATGATGAAATGCCCAAAAACTAAAATGAAACTGTATTTATCCCATTTAAGGTCATCATTTGTCTATTTTTAATTATTTATTTTAAACAAAGCAACCTCAAGCTGTCCGTTTTGGCATCTGCATAATTTGGCTAAATACTGTAAATAATAATTTATTAATTTATATATATATATATATATATATATATACACACACACACACACACACACACACACACACACACACATATATATATATATTAATAGAGGACACTCTACAGTTTGACAAATATTGCTGCTGTTGGGCAACATAATGTACTTTTGAGGCTTTTGTAGTTGTAGTAGATTAATGTAGTTGTTTAGAATGTAACTAAGCAGTTTATTTTTAAGGTTAGTGCCTATATTAAAATGCTTATCATTTCTGAGAGGTGCGTTGGCGAAAAATTAGCCTGTTCTTGAGCAAAGACGGTTGACAATGTTCATCCTCAAGATGGAAGCAGAGACAGCTTAATAAGCCCTAAGAGAAAACCAGCGTAATTTCAAACTAAAGTTGATCAAATCATAATTAAACAGGTAAATGACTTTCTAGGTCTCTCTAAATGCCTCTTTTGTATGTTGTAGTGCCTTATTTATACCATAGTAATATTGTGATCTTCCGATTGCAACAGAGAAATGCTGCAAAATCTTTGTAGACTCGCATTTCATGCCATTCTGGCTTATATACTTAAAATGTGAGCAAAATCAGCTGTTTTATCATCACTTTAGACATTACGATAGAGAATTTTTCAAATACTAGCTCTAAAGTGATGTTGGTGAATGAGCAACGGCTTCTGCTGTTCTGATGTCAGCTGCAGATGTGAATGGATAGTTGAAGAAAGTAGTTCTTTCTACAAAAAGCTTTTGAGACTCTCCGTGTTTGGTTTTATTTTTTATACACACAATTGTTATACAAACGCAATATCACACTCGTAGAAGTGCAATGTAGCTGTATATAATCACAGCCACATCGCACTGCTACTCGTGTGATATAGCTCATATATAGCAATGTTTTCTCCTCCTATTAATTATAATAAATTGGATTTTCCCTGCTGTCAGAACAGAACTGTATTCTATTTCTGACTAGAAACACTGATATAATGTATGTCAGATGGTTTGTAGTAAAAAATAGATTTTTAGATGCTAAAACAGTTGTTGGTAACGTCATCAAAGAGGATACACAAAGCTCACAATTTTGATTTAAAATCACTTTAAATTAATTGTGCATAATACATGCAAACGAGGGAAATTTGACGGCTCCAATTTAAGAGTTGCATTCGTAGACAAATCACAGATTATATACAGGCACAGATTCTACGTGCATAGAAACATAAATCATCATTCAAAAATAAAAACACCTCATTTGATTAAAGGGACAGTCCAGGCAAAAACTCTGTCATTACTTACAGCGGAAGACAAAATTATTGGAACATTTATTTTTTAAACATATTTCCCAAGAGCTGTTTAATGGAGAGATCTTTTTCAACATATTTTAAAAAGTAACAGTATTAATAATTAATTCTGACTTTGCCATGATGAAGTGCAATAAAAGTGAAATACAGTAGAAAAATTCCCTTGCTCTGTTAAATATCACTTGGGAAATATCTAAAAACGAATTAAATTTTCACAGGAAGGCTAATAATTTAGATTTCAACTGCAATCTTAGTTGTTTATACAATTCTTCTTCTACAAAACTGATATTATGAGGAATGTTGGTAAACTAACCAAACAAATAAATACTGCCAAAACAGTACCAGCATTCTTCAAAATATCCTTTCCTGAGGAAATAATTGCATATAGCTCATCTTGTGAGCTCCAGACCAAAAATCAAACACATTTGGAACAACACAACTACTTTTTGAGTGAACTATCCCTTATTACATGCACTGGAAACAAAAAAGTCATCTCAAAATTGTGAGGCAACTTGCTGCAGAGCTCTTTTGAGTTGACTCACCTTTAATCCCAAGTACTGCACTTGACTCGATTAAAATTGAGTAAACTCAAAAAATGTCCTGAAGCTGGTCGCTTTAAAATTTTAGATTGAGTCAACTTTTTTATTTTACAGTGTGGGTTCTCAATCTCGGTCCTGAAGGTCTGGTGTCCGGGGGATTTTAGCTTCAACCAGCCTCAACACCTGCAAGGATGTTTCTAGAAAGCCTAGTAAGAGCTTGATTAGCTAGCCCAGGTGTGTCTTATTAACGTTGGAGCCAACATCTGCAGGACACCGGACCTCCAGGACCACGATTGAGAACCCCATACCTTATTAAAATATTTGTTTTATTTTAAAGTCATCCTAAAATAAACTTTTAATTCAAGTCAATAAATCAGCACATCTGTTATTTAAAGGTGCAGTATGTAAGTTTGACAGTCAGTGGTTGAACTAGGTATCGCATTCCTGGATCAAAACAACCGCAAGCACAGGTTGCCAGATTAAGGACAGAGGAGCGAGTGTAGTGATCAAGCCTAAAAGCTGATTTAAATCATGTTCTTTATAAAAACGACGACACACGAAAGAAGGAATATCGTTCATATTAAAAGGAGTTTTTGTTCTAACCAACACCTTCAATTGATATATTAGAAACGGCTTCAATTTCTTGCACCTGAACAACAGAAAACTGACAAGGATCACCTCAGGTACACCTCATGTGCCTCATTATTCAGTGTTAAATGTTAATAATGCGAGTTTGAGTGCCATTTTACATGACATGTATTGCCATGTACTGAAAGCAGCAGCAGATAGTTCACTTCAGATCATGAAAATCAAATAAACCGTCTAAAACTGAACTTTAAAACTGTGAAATAATGCAATCCAACACATATCAGTGATTCAGCATCTACATTTAATAATTATAATAATTTATATTAATAATAATTTATTAATAATAATTTAATAATAACCTTTTCGTAAGTGAGTGTTTATTCTGTGCATCTAAATGGCTGTGTTTAAATTTCTGTTGTGTTTCATCTGATGCGAACAGCCAAATTGCTTATCACTGCAAATCTCTTTACATAGCATGATGTCAGGACACAGGGTTACGTTGTAACCTGCTCACTTAATGTTTAAGCTAGTATTATTAATAATATTTGCTAATTAATAACCTCATGTGGAACTCTGAATCTGCATCTCATTTTGGAGTCTACTACTGTCCACCAGAGGTCGCATTTCAGTCACGAGCGCATGCTTTGAGAGCCTTTCTGAAAGACTGAATGAATGAAATACGCGGTTTTCCACCAAGGTAACCCGGGGTGCTGAAATATAATTGGCTAAACTGGCATTGGGTAGGTTAAAAGAACCAAAACAAAGGCAGCAATCCAGCCTGAAATGCACATTTTCAAAGCAGAATATCTGACTTCAGCATTGTTTTTCAAATAAACAAGAATGTTGACTTGGCATGTTTCTTAAATATCTGCAAACATATTATGTTATTTTTATGCTTTAGAAAAGTCAAAAACATACATACAGCACCTTTAAAGTCATCCTAAAATAAAAAGCTCTTTTATTTCAAGTCAATAAATTGGCACATCTGTTATTTAAGACTCCTCAGTGTCATATAATCACACTCCCTCTCAACGAACAAACAGACAACACCATTATTTTCATATAAAAAATAAGCAATGTTTTTCATAAAAGGATCATTTTCAGGAGAGAAAAAGGCAAACATCGTTCACACCATCAGTTTTGGACAATACCTAACATGCACGTCTGTCAAGCGTTAAACCTTTCATCAAGGACTTTGAACCTCCATGTTGTCGATTAAAGTGTCTTTCTTGAGGAACTTTAAGGTGCGAACGGATCTCCAAACCCCAACATAACTATCGCTCAGAGACAGTCTCGTGGGATCATCTGACGGGACGGCGGGCCGTTCTAATTCTATAGACTCTGCTACTTTATTTTCACGAATATGATTCTGGTCTGCTGATTCTGACAGGCCACCATTGGGAACATCTTCTGGGATATTTGAAGGAATCTCCATCGTATCTCCATCAGGCTTGGCTGGCTCCACATACGGTTCTCCTGGTAGTTCTCCATCCTTAGCGGACTCATCCATATCCTGGTAGGCTACCTTTTTTTTGGTTTCGAAATACTTCACCACACAGTAGGTGACGGAGCCGACGGTGTTGACTACCACGCCTGCCACAAACAGTTTGGTGGGCATCACGTCACTGAAGGCCAGCATGCCCACAGTGATAGTAGCTATGCTTTTGACCACTCCAACAAAACTGGTGGTGACGGCCGAGTTTATATAAGTACAGTGAAGCGTGGTGAAGTTCATCGCACAGCCAATGAGGATGCAGGTAACGAAGATACCAGTGATGAACGGGTTCTTCCAGCCTTCGTATGTCCACATATCAATAGCATCCATGCTTACAATGGAGCAGATGAAGAGAACAGGGGTAGCCACCACTGCAATGGTGTACTGCGCCGTGAGCGGCCCGTAATCACTGTCTGAACTCACTTTCTGGATGAGCACCAAGTAGGAGGCGTGGACGATCACAGCTAAAATGCCAGTCACGTAGCCGAAAGGGTCACCTGTAAGATCTCCAGCACCTGCAGGAAAATGGAGTTAAACAGGGACTGTATGCACCGTGCATTATTTATGCTGAGAGAGATATTTATGCTGATGCATCATGATTGGCTCAGAGTATTAGAAACAGCATATGATTATATTATGCTATAGCATGTAGGGATTAGTTTTTGTTTTTAAAAGTAGGTCAAAACTCATTCTTGATCATATTAGACTGACTGATATACTGCATAATAATGCTGAAAATTCAGCTTTACATCAGAAGAATAAATTATTGTTATTGTAATTATTTTATTCCTCACATTGCTTGGACAAAATGTCCCTACAAGTATAGCAATGCCAGTACATTTGGACCTTGAGGGTTTTTTTTTGGTCCCTCAAAAGGGAAACTGCTCATAAATCACTTTGAAAGTGTAAAAATGGAGATTGTTTACTGTGTGGGCTGGGTTTTAAGGTAGGGATACAGTATATAAAGTACAGTATACAAATCATAATAATAGGGAGCTGTACAAGTGTGTGCATTTATTCTCATAATTGCATAGCCAATAATAATAATAATAATAATAGCATAACCATCTGTATCATGGGGTTAAAAGGCAACAAATTATTATTATTATTTTTGCTGAAAACGTTATAAGCCGATACACTATTTGTGACAACTGGCCCCAATAAATGAGAACGATCTTATCTTCCTGGCAACATGGTGTAGATTTATGACTATATCTTATGGGCCTATATTTATTATTTATTATGGCAATTGCTATATAGAAACTAGATATTGGAGTAAACACAACAAATACATATACTCGGTGTGTTGTCTATTTTTTTCATTACTAAATTTTAAGTGAACTATCCCTTATTATTATATTTGTTTTTATTTTACTGTCATCAGAAAAAACAGGATATTTGCATTAACTATACAGTATATTTGCTATAAAGATTAAAATAAAGTAAAAACACAACAAAAATGTTTACAATGTAAAAAATGCTGGGTTCCACACAATTTCTTGTTGTCACAACACAAATAAATTGTGTTGATTCAGCTCATTATAAACAAGTAGTTTGAACAATTTTGTCGTCTATTTTCATTTCTCAATTTTGAGTGTATTATCCCTTATTAGTATATCTATTTTATTTTAAAGTCATCTTAAAATACAGTATATTTATTTTAGCTATTTGCTATAAGGATTCAAATAAAGTAAAAACACAACAAAAATTATATAAAACACTGTAAAAAATGCTCTGTTCCACACAATTTTTTCATGTTGTCAACATAAATAGATTGAGTTAGCTTAATCACTTTTACAAATTTAAGTGGAATGAACAAAACAATTGTTGTCCCCAAAACCCCTAAGAATTGTGTTGGTTCAGCTCCTTTTAAAGAAGTAGTTTGAACAAGCGGCTAAAGTATTTTTTCAGTGCACTCATTATTTTGTCATATATTTTTCATTTCTAAATTTTAAGTAAACTATCCCTTATTAGTATATTTGTTTTATTTTAAAGTCATATTAAAATACAGGATATTTCTTTTAACTATATATTTGCTATAAGGATTAAAATAAAGAACAACAAAAATCTATACTTATTATGTCATTTATTTTTCATTTCTAAATTCTGAGTGAACTATCCCTTAATATTATATTTGTTTTATTTAAGTCATATTATAATAAAGGATATTTATTTTATTTGCTAAAAGGAATAAAATAAAGCAAAAGCACAAAAAAATGTATACTCATAAGGCCTGTATGTTGTCTGTTTTTTTATTTTGAGTGAACTATCCCTTATTAGTATATTTGTTTTATTTTAAAGTCATCATAAAATAAAGGATCTTTATTTCAACTATATATTGGCTATTAGGATTAAAATTAAGTAAAAACACAATAAAACATATGCTCCTTATGTCGTCTATTTTTCAGTTCTAAATTTTGAGTGAACTATCCCTTAATAGTATATTTGTTTTATTTGGAAATCATCGTAAAATAAAGGTTATTTTATATTAACTATAATACTATAATTTGCTATAATAATTAAAATAAAAACTAAACAAAAATGTATAATCATTATTATATCATGTACTTCTCACTTTATATACGCCTATATGATTCACTTTCTTTTTAACACTTTTCACAACGCTTAGCTTACATATTGTTGCACTTTCGTTGGTTCTATTGCTCCCCTGTGACTACTACCTTAAAAACAATCCTAAAACAGTTATTATCTTGTTATTTTCTCACCAGCCAGAGCTGCTCCTCCAGTGGTGATGAGGACCGCTGTGATGACTCCAGCTGACGGGATCCCGTTCTTCAACACACACACTCCAATCCCCAGCGTCACCAAGGGCAGGCATCGCTTAAACACCACATACATGGGCAAACTCAGTCCCCTGAGAGACCACAGAGTCAACGTGGACTGCAAAGTTGCCAAAATACACACGCTCGCAAAAACTTTAACCAACTGTAGACTGAACGGAGGTATATCTATCTTGCCTAGTCTCCTCAGCACCTCTAGCGTGAGCGCCGCAGTGCCGCTGGTCAGACACTGAATTAAAGTCAGATACGTGAAGCTGTAGGTCGTGATAAGGAATTTTAGCAGAATATTTAGCGACCCCGAAAAGAATCCGTGAGCAACGGCGACGGTGATGCCCAGCATGCGTCCTTTGCAAACTTCCATGTCTCCGTTTGACCGGGGTTTCCCTGGGTCTCTGTGAGGCACTGCTGAATATTCACGTCCAGTGCGCTCTATCGCGTCATTCACACACACACGGGAGCGCGGGCGCGGGACAGGCGCAGATCCTCTACGGTCTTCCTTCTCTGTTCACTGATTGAATTGGAGTGAACTGCAGCCAATCCATTTACTTTCACGTACCTTACACTTTTAGCTCTCCGAGGAGCTAGTTCACAGTGGTCAAAATAATAAAAGCAGTGCGCATTTTAGATCTGCAAACACTAAACAAAACGAACTTTAAGTCTTAACGAATGCTCAGCTTTAAGTGCCTCAAATAAAACTGAATTACACTGGTCAAATAGATAAATAATAATGACAATTAAAAGGATAGTTCACCCAAAAATGAAAATTCTTTCATCATTTACTCCACTGGTTCCAATTCCATTACTTTCTTCTGTTGAACACAAAATAAGATACTTTGAAGAATGTTGAAAAGTAGCATCCACTGACTTTCATAGTTTCATAGCTTTGATTTTGGTGCTTTTGTTATGGCTTGATGTTTGAAAAACATATGCAAAGTCAAAAAGGTTCTGTTTGTGAGTAACAAACTGTCAGATCAATCTTGCCTTGACAATAAACACCAGCATTACCTAAACATGAGAAGTACCGCTCCAGCATCTCTTATTATAAGCCCCTTTTACACAGTGATACCGGTAAATTCCAGAAGTTTTCCAGAACAACTTTACCACTAAATTCAAATTAGACTCACAATGGGGTTCAGTTTAGTGGTCAATTCAAGTATGACAGTTTCAGCCCAATAAATCTTGCATTGACATCCTGAAATATGGCCATGGAATCAGTCTTCCAACATGGTTGTTTGATGAATAAAAAGCTACATAATGCATAAGATAGGGTTAAAAGTATTGATTTCAAACATGTTACACTCCAGAAACTTATCACTCCACTAACAACCCAAACATAATCTCTATTTTCTTTTTACTGAAATTTAAATCACTTTTGTTTTAGCCAGGCAATATTTTTTTTCTACATTTTTTTATACAGTAACACCTTTAAAAAAAGCAAGCATGCAGTAAATGTTAAGTAAATTAGATTTTTTTTTTGGGTGAACTTTAATGCCTTTAACTCTTTGATAGGTACACTGCTACAGTAGATAGCACAATTTTTAGGTTTATGGAACATAGTAAATTTTCTAAAGTTAAAGTTTGCATGACAGAATTCATGTTTACAATATCAAAGCCTTTATATCTGGCAGCTCTGGCATTTCAAGGGCATTTGGCTAATAACCAGCCATTAGAAAAACAGCCAGACCATGTACAACCTTATACTACATATATATATATATATATATATACAGTTGAAGTCAGAATTATTAAACCCCCTCTGAATTTGTTATTCTAATTAAAATATTTCCCAAATGTTGTTTAACAGAGTAAGGAAATGTTCACAGTAGGGTTGTAACAATATACCGGTATGACGGTTTACCACGATTTGAACGTGCACGATTATCATACCATGAACAATTGCACATCAACGGTTTTAACCCTTAAAGACCGAGACAGCCGCCCGCGGCTAAAAATAAGTATTGCTCTTAAATGTTTAATGTTTAATAACTTTTGATCCGCTGATCCGATTCATACAATTCAAAGATTGGCATAAAGAAGAGAATCTCAGCTTTCCAGTGCTGTATCACATAACAGCACTCATAACAACCGGAATCAGTGCGGTTACGTCATCAACATTTGACAACGCTGATTTGACAAAGAAACGCTCGTCACTGTGTCTCCGGACAAATCAGACATGATACATTGATGCATTGTCCCTCCTCCATGCCCAGATTGGTTCAAACTCGCTATATCACAACCAATAAGCATAGGTTTCGCTTTTGTTTGTGGACCAAACAATGAGCTTTTTGAACAACACGGAATGAGAGAAAGGCATACATTTATGCGCGGCTAAATAAAACGCAAAAAAAAAAGTTTTGCATGAAATAATTCTCATACTAAGTACTTTTGCATGCACAGCAGCAAAGAAACATGACAAAACAGTGACACAGCAAAGACGAACTGCTGCTCTTGCTGTTTTCAAAAGACGCAAATGAAGATGCAGCTGTTTGTCTGCATTGCAGACAACCATATCCAAATCCATAGACAACCATATCCATGCTGGCACATAAAACCTAAGGATGTTCCATATTGAATCTAGTTTCGTTATGTAACTATTTATAGTATAGTAAATATTTATATCTATTTTTTACTGAGGATTTGCACCATGTTTATTTGGACTTTATTTGGACTTTGACACATTATTTATTATTTTCTTATTTTTATTTGTTCATTGTAAGTGGTATTGTTTATAGTAACTAAAAATATATTATTTGGAAAAAGTCAAATTTGCTTCACTGTTCTATTATTTTGTAACATACCGTATACCGCGAAACCGTCAAACCGTGGTATTGTTTTAGACGATTATCATACCGTGAAAAATTCATACCGTTACAACCCTAGTTCACAGTATGAATCATCATCAAATATGATCAGTCTGATCAGTTTAAAAAAAAAAAAAACATTTTAAGGTAAAAATTATTCCCTTTAAGCGATATTTTTTCGATAGTCTATAGAACAAACCATCGTTATACAGTAACTTTCCTAATTACTCTAACCTGCCTTTAACCGAATTAACCTAGTTAAGCCTTTAAATGTCTTGAAAAAATCTAGTAAAATATTATTTACTGTCATCATGGCAAAGATAAAATAAATCAGTTATTAAAAATAAGTTATTGTTTAGAAATTTGTTGAAAAAAATGTCTTTGTTAAACAGAAATTGAAGAAAAGAATAATTTTAGGGGGGCTAATAATTCTGATTTCAACTGTATAAAATAAATATACTCATTTAATACTACAAGCTTATACATCCATATTGATGTTTTATTATACCTGTAAATGCTTCAAGAATTTGAAAACAATTTTAGCTCTAAATTTTGCTTGATCTCATCACTATTATACATTAACTAATTTATATATTTTTTTAATGCTGTTTTAGCACATTTACACAATTTTGATTGGTTAGGAAAAATGAGTCTATATGATTATAAAAACATACAAACTTTTTATGCTCAACAGTTCTCACTTAGAGATTGCTTGACACTATTAGCAGGTTTGGCATGCTGTGCCGGGAGAGAACCCTGAGCTCAGATATAATTGAGCTCAGGGCTCCCGCCTGGTCAATGAGCATATAAGGGGGTTTGAAATCAGGTAGGTCTCAAGAGCTACCCTTGGTAAAAGGAGTAAAAGGAGGAGATGGGGTGAAAGGGGGATTCTTCCTAAACAGAGTAGGGTGAAATAGGCCTATTTATGGTAGGCTTGAATCAATCTGTCAGGTTATTTCTGGTTACGGATGAGAGGCCAGACACGATCAACCATATCACATGCTCCTTTAGTAATTAGTTCATAAAATTAAACATTGTGCAACATTTTGGAAATTTTATTTAATGGTTACCTAAAACACCTACTATTAAGATACCTTACCTTAAAAAAAAAAAAAAAAAAAAAAAACTTACTTTATAAAAATGTTTAACATGGCATGCGTCTCAAACTTTGATATAATATTCACCTCTACAGCAATTTAAAATACCTTGAGCACAATTTGGTAGGCAGTACTCAGGAACCGGACTCACTACAAAATAACTGAACTACAAAATAACCGGAATTGATGAACTGCTCTTATTTATTAACACAAGTTTAACAAACCGGATTTAATCCATTAGAGAAAAACAACATACACCTACCACAAAATTATTAGACATCAATAAGGCACTCACCGTTTAAGGTAAACTCACTTTAGCTTGATTTTACACTCATCAAGCACTATAATAACATCACACTCCTAAAGGCGAGGTGTGAGATTCTAGCGCTCCCTCGGGTTCTGCTGTAACAGCGTCATTAGGAAAACTGCAGTGAAATCTTGGCAAACTCTGCACCTGTGATTGAAATGGAGCCGTGATTCCCTTATGTCCTGCAGAAACCTCAGTACATGGTGAACGGGTTTCTACACCGCAGCCAGAGATGAAGGACTGAACACTTTCACAGTCTCGTCCCAGGAGCAGTCCACAACCTGAGAAAAAAACACCACAGTCACACAGTTAGCTTCAGGTATTATAACATGTCAGGCAACACAAATAGTTATGAATATAATGAGAAATTAAAATTTTCTTAGTCTTTTTTTAGATTTTAGGAATTCTTTTCTACTTTTATAGACACAAAAATTATTAAATCCATTGTTAAAATAAAAAGTAGAGGACTTTGAAGATAATTTAACTTAATAAATGTGTAATCCTCACTGAGTGGACAATATTCTATTATTTGATTTGATTCTGCAACACACCATTATTTCAGCTTTACTAAACTATAATGTAGAAAGAAAGAAAATACTGTAATTACATGTTGAAAAACAATCATAAATATGACAAAAGACATGAAAGTTTGATTCCAAAATCTCAATAAAAGCTTTAAAAGAAGAACATATGACACAACACTAATAAGAAAGAAAGAGATTGCCATAAATGTACTGACTTTTTAGTATTTCTGATTGAAACTCTTCTTAAAAATGTTCTTCTACAAAAAAATGGTAACACTTAACAATAAGGTTCATTAGTTAATGCATTTACTAACATGAACTAAACATGAACAACACATGTACAGCATTTATTAATCATAATTGAACATTTACTAAAGCATTATTAACATCCAAGTCCATGCTTGTTAACATTAGTTAATGCACCATGAGTTAACATGAACTAACAATGAACAACTGTATTTTCATTAACTAACGTTAACTAACATGAACAAATACAGTAGTAAATGTATTGTTCATTGTTTGTTCATGTTAGTAAATGCATTAATTAACATTACCTAATGAACCTTATTGCAAAGTGTGACCAAAAAAATGTTGTCAAACAAAACACAACAATGATGATTTCACTGCAAGTCACAATACATAAATGAATACAAAAGTCCTTCTCAATTAAACTGGTACTGAAAAACAAATAAAAAAGATTTCTATTCATATGATGCTTGAAATGCACAATAATAATGTTCGGCCAACAAATAGTTTCTTTTGATGCTGCTTCAAAGCCTTTATAAAGCATATACACAAAAATTGCTACTATAGCACAACAAAGACCCACTGTCATTTCCTCATTATAAATCATAACAGTAGAATCAAACCAGAATAAGGGCAGCTGACATAACATCTGTATATAAAAACAAAATCTGTATCAAATTACACACCTGTGTACAAATAAAGCACCAAACCTACAGAAGTGTTTTTGGACTGTGATCTACACATATGCTCATTGATTTAAAGAATGGACTCTTTTCACATTCCGGGTTTCTCAGTAGGGGTTTTTGTCATTGTTGGGTAAACTAAGAGCACAGTGAATGGGAGAGTACAACAAATATATTTTTACAATCGTATTTGGTGATATAATAAAAGAAAAGCTCCAAAATGGTGTTATCAAGACTTTCAGAAATAGGGAAAAATTGTGTGAGACTGATAGCGGCTGATAGATGCTGTTTTAGAAATGCCTCACACAATCCGTAGTTTGATACAAAGATGATATACATACATATAAATATACATTAAATAAAAAATGTAAGAATTTAAGATGCTGATGACCGTTAAATGAATCGTGAAAAGGCTTGTTTAAATGTCAAACATTACGTTTCAAGTATAGTATATTTTGAACAAAATCGGTTTTAATACATCTTAAAATAATTTAACCCATTTCAACCACCTGGTTGAACTTTTTTTTATAAAACTATAAAGTGGTTTTTGCGATTTGGATCTTCCGAGTGGTGTCAGAAACACTATTTAAAAATCAGATTTCTTGCAATTTTACATTTATTTATGGTTACTACAAGGTTTTACCCATTTGTCAAATCCATTTAATCATTTAAAATACAATAAAATGTAGTATGATTGCTTATTGTTTTACACATTTTAATAAGCACAGGTCAGAAAAAAAAAAATCTGTTTCATTTTTACTACTGTATATGTTATGCTGTATGCCATGGACATTATATATATTGTTTTTAACAAAAAGATTTAAATAGACAGTATAGTTGCATTGAGGACGACTTTAACAAAAAACCAAGGCAAGTTTGACATAAAAAAAAAACTTTGTTGACAAACCCACATAACTGTAGTCTAGTTTAGTATTTTATTAAAAGTACAATAAGTATTTCTACCTCAAATGGCCATTATCAATTACAAAAGGCATATTATTTCAGTGTAGACATTTTTCATACATTTTTCATATGTTTAAAATATATATACAAATTAGGCAATGCCTACATTTTTTTTTGTATGCATGGAAACGTATATTGGTGATTATTTTTAAATTAGTTATCCAAAATAATATTTCCAAGTGTATTGGAAAAAAGACAATGTAATAATTTCTAAAATTCACAACAAATTATTTTTCAGTTCAATTCAATTCACCTTTATTTATATAGCGCTTTTACAAAGTAGATTGTGCCAAAGCAGCTTCACATAAAAGATTACAGTAACTTGAAACTGTGTAAGAGCAGTTTTCAGAGTTGAAGTACAGTCTCGTTCAGTGTGATTTAATTTTCACTGCTGAAAGTCTAAACACTGATGAGCAAATCTATTGATGCACAGCTCTACAGGCCCCAAACCATGTAAGCCAGTGGCGAGGAACAAAACTTCACCACGAAAGTGAAAGAAAAAAAAACCTTGAGAGAAACCAGGCTCAGCTGGGCATGACCATTTCTCCTCTGGCCTTCTTGTGCAGAGCTGCAGTCTTTCAACTCATATTCTCAACAGTCAAATTTCAAAACATTTTTACTGTAGTAAAAAACCTTTGTTCTCTACTTGCCAGATGCAAAGCAAAGAAACTTCACTGACTTGTAGCTCTTATGCAATTACATATTGCAAAAAAGGCCATAAATATAACAAAAAAGATATCAAAGTTTGTTTCTAAAACGTCAACAGAAGCTTTAAATGAAAATATGACCCGACAAATATAATATCCAGTGGTTTCAGAATAACCGACTATTCTAGTGATTCTTGAATTCCTACAGTTGTAGTCTTATGTTAATATAGAATTATTAGCCTCACCCCAATACCGTGATGTCCTCTTCTTTCTAAAGTTGGAAAAAATTAGACTGTCTAGAGGTTCATCTAACCAGTTTAAGAAAGACTTTGGACCCATTTAGGAAATATATCCAAGAACAAGCCACATTAATATTTACCTTTTTATTTGTTGGTATGTATTTTTTTTCTCATTGTATGCGCTTAAGTTAATACTTTCTATACATTTTGAAATATAATTGTTTTGTTTTGTCTTGTTTTTTTTTTTTTTACTGTATTTTGCCATAAGTAATAAATAAAATTATAAAAATGAAATAAAAGATTAGCCTCGCTTGTATATTTCTTATACAAAAATACAGAAATTGGGGAGAATTTTTTTTTCAACACATTTCTGTACATAATAATTTTAATAAATAATTTCTAATAAATTATTTTTTTTTACCTTTGTCATGATGACAGTACATAATATTTTTCAAGATACTAGTCTTCAAGTGCAATTTAAAGGCTTAGCTAGGTTAATTAAGTAAGAGTAATAAGGCAAATCATTGTATAACGATGGCTTGTTCTGTAGACAATCAGAAAAAAAATATATATAATAAGGGGCTAAAAATATTGTCTATTCTATTATCTAAAATGGTTTTTAAAAATTAAAGAATTGTTTTTTCTAGCTTAAATAAAACAAATAAGACTTTCTCCAGAAGAAAACATATTATCACACTGTGAAAAATTATTTGCTTTGTTAAACCCCATTTGGGAAATATGTGAAAAAGAAAAAACATTAAAGAAAGGGGTAATAATTTTGACTTCAACTGTATATAAATCCACTTTTATAAATTAAATTTGATGAGGGCCCGCATACTGCATGAGTATACTGCATACAATTCAAATAAAAAAATCCCACTGTGATTCAACACACCAGCGCTTTCATATCCATATTACTATTAATACAATTTCAAAAGGCACAGTTAGCCCTATACGCAAAACTCCACTCATTATGAAAGTGATCTATCGATGCCCAAGCAAAGCTCCACTCCTCTTTATTGTGGTCCTTTCCTCCGTATCTCATTACTCCAGAGCCCGTGACTCACCCACTGAGGGAGAAAAGTGCTTCATTAATTACTTTACTGCAAAATGCACAACAGAGAGCCAGGACAAGCAGACGCAAAAGTGAACGGGTGGTCAGCCGATAACACAAGAGTTCAATATAACTGGAGGCAGGAGAGCGAGAATGTGATCTGCAGCTCCGCTCTGCTTTTCTGAGAAACAATATCTGTTAAAGTACAGAATGCATGTCCTCTTCTGGAGAGACGTTTCAGCTGCTTGCCGGAGGTATATGATGTATCACCTGCTGTGGGTGGAGATGAAGTCGGAGCTGCGCTTTTGCTTGAGAACCGGTTATAGTATAATTACGACATCCGAAAGCTTCACTTTGTTTAAAGGCATAAAGACAGTACTGATGTTCAATGTGTGCACAAGAAATGACCAGAGGCGATCGATCAAATCCATGTGTACGAAACAAGGCTACAGAAGAGAGAGTTTTAGGAATGAGGGTTACTTTGTTTTTTAAGTACCAGTAATTAACCAATGTACACTCAACGGCCACTTTATTAGGTACACCGTACTAGTACCGGGTTAAATTCGCATTTGCCTTCAGAACTGCCTCAATCCTTTGTGGCATAGAACCGACAAGGTACTAGAATTTATTCCTTGAGATTTTGGTCCTTATTGACATGATAGCATCATGCTGTTGCTGCAGATTTGTAAACTGCATATCCATGATGCAAATCTCCTGTTCCACCACACCCTGAAGGTGCTCTATTAGATTTAAATCTGGTGACTGTGGAGGCCATTTGAGTACAGTGAACTCATGTTCAACAAACCAGTTTGAGATGATTCGCGCTGTATGACATGGTGCCTTATCCTGCTGAAAGTAGCCATCAGAACAAGGGAACACTGTGGTCATAAAGGGATGGACATGGTCAACAATACTCAGGTAGGCC